AGATAGCATGTGGCAGTTGCCATCTAACAATTTTTTTGTAATTTCTAGTCTACGTTAGAAAAAAGTTATAGACTGTCAAATTAAGGAAAGGAAAAGATATTTTTTATTATTAATATGGCATCAGGATAAAATGCGAGTTGGTAATTTTGGATTTACCATTGACGATCAGAAAATGAATGAGAGAAAAGGGTGAAGTTAGGGAACAGATAAATAATCTTGCCTCTTTGCATGAGGGGTACACTATTAAACCCTCTTCCATTTGCTTTGCATCTAGTGTTAGTAGAAAGAAGTAATTAGGAAAAAGTTCTTCATCAATAAAAGATGTTCAGTGGGTGACTGTCATATGCAAACGTTTAAAAAAATATTTGCTGAGGACTGAAAAGAAATCCTTTGGAGCTGTGTATTATTTGCATAATATAACCATTCTCATTTCCTTTCTCTCTTTCTCTATTTTTATCTCCTTTGGGCCCCCTATCCCTGTCTATGCATATCCCTGTCTATGCATTGGTATCTAATTGCCTTTAGCCATATGTTTTTAGTAGCATTTCATGACTTAGTATAGTTTATACAACAAAACATACTGGTTATTCCTTCACTGGTATGACTTACAGCCACATAAAATTAATTTGCTCATTCTAAACGTAATTAGAATAGCTGCCTTTAACATTATTCTTGGCAAGTCAGGTTCTAGTCCTGGTTGTGACATGATCAAGTTGTTAGACAGGGCTTTGGTAATCTTCATTTTCATCCATATATCTAGAGGTAGACCCTGGATGTCTGAATTCTTTTTATTTTGATCCTAATTTTTTGAATCACATTAGTTCATCATATCACAGAATAGGGATATGAAGATGAAGAGGAGGAAAAGGTTGAAAGGGAGAGAAGGGTAGAACTACTATGGCAATTAGCTGCTTCCTCCTCCTCCTCCTCCTCCTCCACCCCTCCCCCTCCTTCTGAATCTTTAGTCTAGTTTCAGTTTCTGAAATCATAAAATCTCAGATTTCTGTTTTATCTTAGACTAAACAAAGTGATTTCCATAAAAGTGCTCATTATGTACAATTATTTCCAACATCTTATATCACAAGTCCTAACATTCCATTCCCCCCCCCCGCCAAAAAAGTTGGTCTCTTAATTTGTTGCCTCCTGCAGCACCTTGCCAGCCAAAAAAGGGGCATGGGCGGTCCATGCATAGCCCCCACTGTGCCTCATTTTCACCCTCCATGGCCTCCTGCAGCATTCTGGTGGCCAAAAATGGGCCCTGTGGCCTACTTTCGGCCCATTTTTGGTGTGATTTTGGCCTGTTTTCAGCCCCTTTTGGGCCCCTTTTCAGTCCATTTTTCGGCCTGTTTTCAGCCCCCTTTCCAGCCCATTTCCAGCCTAGTTTTTGGTCCAGCTTTGGCCGGCAGAGTGCTGCAGGAGGCCATGGAGGATGAAAAGGAGGTGCAGGGGGCTGCACGCAGCCTGCTTTAGCCACCAAAGCACTGTGGACCAGTCCCTTGATATTTCCATGCCAGCCCCGTGGGACAGATTTAAGCACCCCGTGGGCTGGATCTGACACCCCTGCTCTATAAAGTCCTCCCCTTCTCACATCTGCCAATATTAGTTTTCAAAGATATTCTCTCCTCAGTTTCTTATGCAGAATATAAAAGAGCCTTGGGATTGCAGGCTAAAAGATTCAGCCCCCTTTTTGAACAATGTATATTCCTCGTGTTACATTTTTAAGACAAATGTAAATCCTGTGATTTAGCAACCGTAGAGATAAAAAAAAGGCTTACTATCACACAATCCATCACAACACTGGTTGGCAATGAAACTGAGCAGGCTTACGCTGAGAACCCTATATTCAGTGCATATGAATGGATTTCCATTAATGGAACAGATTTGCTATTCATGTTGTTCATCACTTCCAGTCAATTCTGAGGGACACAGAGGGAGGAAAACATTAAAATAGCAGTGTCCTTTCTATTAAAAGATGGCCTCTGTTAGACAGAATGCAAATGTGTGGCATTTTCACAGCAAATCGTGGTCATTGGTGGGATTTAACCTTTTAATGGATAGGGCTGCCAATTTCCCCATCTCTGTGGTAATGATTGAATACTATTAGGTAGAAACAGTCTAAAAGAAATAAAACGGAAACGTATAAAATAGAAGAAGAAGAGGTAATGGTAATGCAGGTGCTGTAAAACTATCAGCCAGTCTGCATACATAAAATTATCAAGTAAGCAAATAAATAATCAAAGAAACAAGTACAATAGTAAAACAATGGATAAATTGGTGAAAATCTCTCAACTCGGTCCTCTGCTTTAAAGCATTATTGCCAAAAAATACTGTTGCACAACAAAAGATGCAACCAACATTTGACTGGTAAGAATAATGCTCCAAAATCGAGTAATATTTGCATTAGAACATGGTTTTATTTGAGTTTTGCTTGTTTCCTGCACAACACTATAGATGTCAAAGAGTTTACCAAAAAGAATCTGAAAGGTCTCTGAAGTCCTAAAAAATTAGTACTGTTTGCTATTTGTTTAAGGGCAATGAAAATCAGTAATGCAATGATTGAAGCCAGCTAAAGTTTCTGGGATTCCACCATGGCAGCCTGGAACGTGGTGCAGCGACACTGATTTATACCAGCTGAGAATCTTGTCCCGAAGCTGATCTCTGAAGAATGAAGATCAAAATTGCAGGGCCTCTGGGTTTAAAAGAAAATAAATGTCTCTACGCCAGCTCCACCTGCTGGCTCTTTTAATCAACAGCATCAAAAAAGTCAATTTTCTTGAATGATTTACAACACCATATTCAAAGATAGCTAGTATTTATTTAGTCTGGTTGTCTTTCCTTTTTTCCTTCCTCCCTTTGCCTCAAAATTTGCCAGATTTCTATGCACCTTTCTGATGTTAAGACCCTTAGAAGATAAAAGAAAGGGGTGCATACATTGCAATTATATAGATACTGTATAGAAGCAGAGAGAGGTGTAACTATCATGCAGGACTAGAAGGGAAAGAAAGGTAATGATAATTAAACCTTCTAAAGGATTTGTAAATCAATGTGTTATATTTATTTCCCAGAGAAGTTTATACGATTCCTCTTTTCTTCCTAGAAGGGGGATTTTTTTTCTTATGAACATGCAACAGTTTGGCAATATGATTTAAGCAATTACTCTGCCATCTTACTGTCTGACTGTCTTTCTAGCACGGTGCTCTGAACAGGTGACAGCAGGTCATCTGGCTCATTCATAATAGAGATTAGAAAGTTGTTTTTCTGAATGAAACATCATTGAGCCAAAGCACTACTTTTATGTTTAGGATCTGAAAAACTGAAAAATGAATGTCAGTAGAAGGAAGGGAGGAGGATTATGCAGCGAGAGAAATTTAGCCACAGGCCTACATTTTGCCTTTCCACTTCACACAGCCCTAAAGTAATTTGTCACACATTTTCTGTAATAAGACAAGCATTTGGAGGAATTTAGTGCATGGTAAATATAGTAATTATTATTCTTTCTTTCTTTCTTTCTTTAAAGAGTTGTAGGGCCACCCAACTCACAAAAATGCAACTCTGGGTAATTTACAAGAATGAAATAAATAGAACAAACCACAATATCTCAGCGGAAAATCAACTATACAAAACAGGGCATGCCGACATGTAATCCCATGAAAAAGCTCACCTAATATCTTAACCCCATTGCCTGAGGGACCATCCAAGTGTTTAAAGAATTCCCGAAGATTAACAGAAAAAATAATAGGAATGATCAAACCAGTCAAATTCCATTTCCTTCCTTCCTTTTCTTTTTAATTAGAAGCTTTAAAGAGCTCAGCAGCCTTGAAACTGAATGAAATAAAATTATTCCTGTTGTTGTTATTACTACTACTACTGTTACAAACATAAAGTTCGCAGTCAGAATAAATAAAAACAGAAAGTTCATGACTAAAAAGAAAAATTAGTACAATATTTCAGGAAGAAGAAAAACAGAGGGAATAGATAGATGTGTAAAATTGGACAACCCAAGAAAATTGGACAACCCAAACATTGAACAGCAGAGTGACAAATAAAGATCAAAGTCTATCAGGGAATTTCTTATAGGGTAAATAAAATCTTTTATAGGGCAAATAAAAGTCATCTGGTAGAAGGCCAGCATATATCCATTTGAAAGTCCATTTGAATTTCTTCCTCTCTAGAAAGAAATTGTTTAAGCTTGGGAATCAAAGATATAGAGATTTGACCTAAGAGCAGTGTTTCAAGTTGTTTTCACTCATTTTCTACTTACACCTTTTATGGATGCATCACTTTAACTTAGAAAAATTATGGAACTTTCAAAGCAGCCTAAAGTGAGTAATAAAGTTGAGGGAAACTGCAATACCTCCAGTCATGCATAGACATTCCTGTTGAACTTCAGCCAAATAAAAAAAATAAAAATCTGATAACTACTATATTTGGGCAATAGAATTCCAGACAACAACTAAACAGCAATAAAGTCTAGCTGCCTCTCTTATTTTTATGCTACCATCTTGTGGTCCTCTAGATTTTTGTAGCTGAGATATACAGTATTGGTCCTAAAATGCACGTGCAAATTATGTTACATACTGTAGAATCCTAATTGCTGTGAAAGCATTTTGACTCTCTTATGCAACTTTTCCAGGATTGAAGACAACTCTCTCAAATGTTATGGAATCCTCAATTCCCTATTATACTGGGAAGAAGAATGTTAAATATTCATTATTTAGAAATGGGAGAAATCTGGTTTACTCATACAGTACCTCAGAATCAATAGGATTGAAGTTAGTGATGACCCAAGTAATAGATCAGTTCTAAAAAAGGCCTATATTTGGATGCAATCCTGTGATCCAATCGCACTTTATTTTTGGCTTACCTATGCTTTCCTTGTTGGGTTTGTTATATTGTAGTGCCATCAACCTGCTACGTTGGCTGCAGTTCCTACTGAGTTTGTCTGCTTAACAATCAGAAATGTGGTTTATAACCCTCTATGGCTGTCATTTATCTGGCAGGTGAGAATGGCACAGAAGTGAAGCCAAGCAATGATGAACCGGAGCCTCAGAGCCAAGAAGAAGGTTTGTATTATGCTGAGATCTATTAAAGTGTTCTATCACCCAGGCTCTCCAAATCTTGGTGAGCAATATTCAGAGTCGATGCTATCGACTGACAAGGTTTGTACATTTCCACAGGATTAAATCAGGGCTTGTGCGGCTTTCCCATTGGAGCCAAGAGCACTATTCATCATGAGTGAATGTATTCCTTCCAACCCTGGAATGTAGCGTTTCCTGTTAGTAATTGACAGCACATTCTGTTAAGGTGGAAGAGATCCTATAAACCTCTTCAGTAGAAAGTGTTTATAGCAGCAAGGTATAAAGTTCAGACATCAAAGGAAGGCAAGAATGTGTAGAAAATAAGCATGAAGAAATGAAGGACCTCTTTGGCTGGGAATAAACCTGCACTGTGCTGCATTTATTCTGTTGATTTAGCTTCTGAATAACTGCTTTTCTACACAGTGGTTACAAATTGGATTACTGGCTTTTGAGGAAGAAAGAGCCAGGGTATGCAAATACAACACTTCAACATAAATGTTGAAACTCATATTTTTTTTAAAAAACCAACTGAGCACAATGTATATCTCCAATTGAAACTGCATTTTTAAAACTGAAGAGAAATAGAAAAAAGTCATGCTATAGTCAGAAGGAATTATTCTGCTTTCCTTACATCAGATAGATAGATAGATAGATAGATAGATAGATAGATAGATAGATAGATAGATAGATAGATAGATAGATAGAT